GGGGGGGGGGACGCACCCGGCGGAAGCAAGGCCCGCAGGGCAGCCGCAATGCGGTGCTCCAGCTCGCGGAAGACCCCGTCGGGCCCCGGTGCGCCGGTGTGCGGAAGCATGTCCCCGGCGGCGAAGGGGGCCGGGCAGCGGAGCTCGAACAGGGGCCCCGACGTGGCGCCGGCCCCGACAAAGTCCGCCATGGATTGGACCACCTGGGCGAAGTCCGGCGGCAGGGGCCCCTCGGCCGATGGAGGCCGTGGCCGAGGGGCCGAGGCTCGAGCAATCTCCATGTTCATGGCGATTTCCAGGCGCGCCGAGAAGACGGCCAGGGCCGACCGCGTGGCGATCACTTCGCCGAGGGACCGCAGCCCGCTGTGCTGCAGCGAGAACCACCGGATCAGAGACCGCTCGCTCGTGGAGGGGGGCTACAGACGGGTCAGCAGACTGCCCGGGGGCAGGGCGGCGGGGTGGGCAAGGAGGCGAGGGGGCCATGAGGGGGCAGGTGGGGAGGAGGCAGAGAGCCGCGCGCCTGCCTGCCTGCCTACCTGCCTGCCCGGCCTCGGAGTGTCGATGCCCGTACCTCGGGCTCGGTGGCGGGCGAGGGATTCAGACGCTTGGGGGCCACCCTACGGGGAGGCGCGGCGGCGGCGGCGGCGGCGGCGGCGGTGGTGGCGGCGGTGGTGGCGGCGGGGGCAGCCGATGAGGCCGTCAGGGAGGCTGGTGGCCGGGCCACGCCGGCCATGGTGCCCGCTGGTGCCGGGGATGCGGGTGTCGCGGAGGATTGTTCGACCATGGCGGCGACGTGTTCCACAGGGCTGGGATGGCCGCCAGGCCCGCGCAGAGCATCGCGGCTCCATACCGTGGCGGCGTGCGACGTGCCGAAGAGCATGCCTAATAGCCGGCTGACGGCGGGCGCGGGCCCGAGCGCCGCCAGCAGGCCGGCCGCCCAGGGGGACAATGTCAGTTCGACGGCCGGCCCATCGGCGGGCCGGTCGAGCGTGGCAACAGGCGCAGGCGTCGTGCCGACGAGAGTGGCACTCGTTTGAACGTGCAGCATGGCCGCAAGGCGGAGGGCGGCCCCGGCCAGCGGGAGAGACCCGCGGCTTCCGAGACCGGGAGACCGGCACAGCAGCCGGCCGAGCAGTGTATGTGCATTGCGCAAGGCCATCCCCACGGGAGGCTCGGCAAAAAGACTGCACCATGTGACGGGAGAGGGAAGAGGAACGTGTGTGTGTGTGTGTGTGTGTGTGTGTGTGTGTGTGCGTGTGTGTGCGTGTGTGCGTGTGTGTGTGTGTGTGTTCCCGTGTGTGTGCGTGTGTGTGTGTGTGCGCGTGTACGCGCGAGGGAAAGAGGGGAGCACCGTCAGCGGTCAACATCCAGACGGAGGGCCACCCCCATGCAAAGGGCCACGCACCCCGGCCAGGCACGCGCATAGGCCAGGCACACGGGCAGTACGATGAGCAAACGCCCGAGGGCGTCCATGGTGTCGGTTGAGCGTGGGCTGTCGCCTGGCCCGGCAACCGCCCAAGTGAGCAGGGCATCCACCCGGAGCGGTCCAGCCGCCCGGCCGAGCAACAAGCGGCGGGGGTCGTCACTCGGCGGAGGGTCCGACTCGTTGGAGCTCGGGCCGAGGGCCGCCCGGGCCAGGTCAAGTAGCCGACGGTCGACAGCCCCGGCCGGCGGCGAGGGGGGGCCCAGTCGCCCGGGGGCCGATGCCCCGCCGGCCAGGTGCTGGGCGATGCATGCATGCAGCTTCCCGAGGAAGACACACAGGTAGATGCCATTCACCAGGGAGGGCGTCCCGTGGCCGGTGCCGCTCAAATGCCGGAGGACTGGCCAGCTGGTGTCAGAGTAGCCGGGCGGGTGGGTGGGGGGGGGGGGACATGTTCCGAGTGACCGGGCCCCGGGTCCAGGGGAGAAGAGGAGGGGGGGGGAGGCGGGAGGGGAGATGAGCGCACCAGATAGCAGCCGCTCCAACACCAGCGTCTCCACAGCCCGGAGAAGGCGGCTGTGGTCGGCAGCACGTAGAAACTCGAAGGCGAAGGCTTCCTGGTCCGAGTCGAAGGCGGTTTCGGGCGGCCCGGCCCCGAGCCAAGAGACCGGGGCCGTGCTGCCGGCAGGCGTCCATGAGCACACCGCGCGCGGGAGAGGCGCCGCGCCCTTGGCGTTGGCGGTCGAGGCGGCGCCTTTCGCCCCTGCGACCGGGGCGCCGGGTTGCGCACCGGTCCGCGCCGCCGGGCCGGCCAGTCGCTGCTCCAGTAGGCGCTTTCGCCGGGCGGCCGCGTCCTCGGCCTGATGGGCACCGGACAGAGGGAGCACCAGGCTACCAGGATGGCGGACCGGGCGTTGGTGGCGCTGGTAAGAGGGTCGAAGAGGGGAGCGGGCGGGGGGGGAGACAGGGGCCACAGCTCCAAGGCCGCGAGGGGGGAAGAGACCCAGCGCACCGGTTCAAGCAGAAGCCCAGAAAGGCCCGGGCGAAGACATCCAGCATGCGGTCATGCCGATGCCCGGGGGTTGAAGAGCGGCCCAGCGACACATCCCACTCGGCCGGCGCCGGGCCGAGGGCACAGTGAACCGTCTGTCGGGCCTTTTCGACAAGCCACCACTCGGCCTGCGGCCGGGCGGCGCCGGGGCCGGTGCCCGGATCGGCCTCGGCCAGGCCCGGCGGCCCTTCGGCCAGCTGTGCGCTCGCCGCGTAGGACCCCTCGATGTCGAAGAGCCGAGCCGCCTCGCTCAGCATGTCCAGAGCCCGCTCGAGGCGCGAGTCCAGGTAGTGCCCGGAGAGGCCAACTATGCGTGCGCGCGCGAGCACACAAACATACACACGCATGCACGCACGCACGCACGCACGCACGCACGCACGCACGCACGCACGCACGCACGCACGCACGCACGCACGCACGCACGCACGCACGCACGCACGCATCGGGGGAGTGGGTACGGGGGGGGGAACACAGCACCAGCGAGGCGCGCGTCACCGGGGAAAGGCGGGGCCAGGAGAGGGACACAGCGCCAGCGAAGCGGTTGGGTCAGAGCCGGCGGGACGCGGACGGGGCAAGGGCAGCTCGGCCCGGGACCGGGAATCGCACGCACCGAACGTGGACGAGGGGGTGTCCCAGGCATGGCCGCCGTCGGGCAGCATGTCGGCTGGGGGGTCTTCCGGCCGGGGGTCCGGGTCGGAGCAGCCCAGGCTCCCGGCCATGACTGCCAAGCAGAGGGCCATCGGGCTGGCTGAAGAGTCGAGCCCCTCGCCGGGGGCCGACGGCGCGG